AACTAATTTCTATAACTTTTTCAATTGAGTATTCATAATTATAAAACAATACAAAGTTTTTCAGAATATGTAATAAAGGCAAAAATTGGACAAGATTCTAAATGAAATAGGCACACCTACAGAACACAAGAAAATAAACCTATTTCAGAAAGGTTAACAAATCATCTTTCTGTTTTAATTTTTCATACAATGTAGTTAAATCAATATGTTTGTTTACACCAAACTCAAAACATTGTAATAATCCATATTACACAAAGCCATTCATTTGGTATTATGTAAGAATTTTGTTCAAAACAAAAGACATTTCTCTTTGCTAAATAACTTTAATTATCAGTTTAAATAATTGATTATATTCTAAATTGAAAGTCTGAATTTGTTTGACATCGTCATATTTTTATGTACCATTTTGTCCCATTTCAATTTCGTTTTTTGTTTTATGCAGGGAAAAAATTTTCATTTTTATTTGAATATTTTCTTTATAAAAAGAACTCAAAATACCTCTAAGAATTGGTAAAACCTGATTTTAGATATTAAAATCAACCATGTGTTCAGTTTCATAAAATTTTATACAAAATAAATAAAAGATAATAAATATAAAAATAAAATAATGTTTAAAGTTACATGAACAAAATATAGAAAATCAATAAAGTGTACCTTATTCTCTGTAGTAGTGTATGCAAATGTTTTTAAATTAAATTTATGGTACTTCTTAAAATATGGCTCATCAGTTATCAACAAAGTTAAGTTCAGATAAGCACTATTACTTTAAGTAACGAAACTGTACTTCAGGTCACGGAGCTACTTTTTCTATCCAAAGCAAAATAATTTAATTATTGTCTATAGTATTACTGTCAAGTTTTTTACATCAAGACTAAAAATACAAAAAAAATCAATTTTTACCAATTTTCGTATGAAGCTGGAAATAAATTCCAAAAAAAATATAACAAATCAAACTTTGTAGATTTGAAAAAATAAGCTATTCAAATTTTCTAACAAAATAGAAAATGCTATAGCATTACAATTAAACGGTGATTTGATCTGTTTTCATTACTTCACACTTAAAATGATAAATACCAATTTCCCAAACATAAACCTTATCTTATGCAATATTTTTAATCGCTCTTATATCCATGACAGCAGGAGCAAGAGAACTCGCAAACACTACGTAAAATACATTTTATTACCAAAAAGCAACAGTTATGCAACCTTTTCCAGTTTAGCCAATCAAATACACATTTTTCCTTTACTCGATTTTCCAATGGATCGAAAACCATTCACACTTTTCCGGCAAAGGGCTTATTCGGTAAACGTACAAACGTTTTTTGTTTATTTTATAAATCTGCCTCGAGTTTAGCATCGGTCGTTATTTTTATTTGTATTCTGAAGCTAAACCAGAGTCAGGTTTACGAAATAAACCGAATAAATCCTTTCCCGGAAAAGTGTGAACGGTTTTTGGTTTAAAATTTCAGTTTCAGCTTTGTCGCCGGGTTTTAATTTCTCGTGCCAAAATCTGTAACGAGTACAATGAGAAATCAACCATAAAAATCAGGAAATAAAGTGACAATAAGCTTCATCATCCCAAATAAACTTATAATTAGAAAAATATAACATTAAAAGATGTCAGATGAGTTAATATCAAGTAAAAGAAATATAAA